TCGGTGTGTGTGCTGAAGTTAGAGATATTTTGGGCTGATCTGTTCCCACAGTTGTGTGTTTCTCTGGGTGAGTCAGCCAGTTCCGACATCCCTTGCTGTAAATTTAAACCTTTTGGGAACAAAAGGGAAACTTCTGCCCAGATCATGAGCAGAGGAGCCTTTCTGGCAGTTCTAAGAATATTATTATTTTTCTGCTAAAGAATTGGCTTCTGAGAATTATGGATGTGATTGGTGGGCTTGAGAGAGACGTAGATTTCATTTGCTTGGCCTTCACAGTTCTCCAGTTCTCCTTTCTTTCAATATCTCAGGTTCCAAGAATTTTAAGGAATTTATTCAAAAGTCATTGACTTTGGGAGTTTTTAGGAAGACAGAATACTTAGACCACCCTGCAGAGTCACCTCCTCTTTACCACATTCAGCCTTCCTTATTGAGGCAGGGTTGTCAGGATGGCTATTGAAGGAAATATTTTTTACTAGTAACTTGGATTTTTAACATTGAAAATACAAAATTAAATCCTACATAACTCAATTTTTTCTTCAAAAGAAAGATTAACTGGAGAATTAGTAATTTTGATTAAAAACATAGGAAGCAAGGGAAGGGAGGAAGCAGTCTTTAATTATCTTAAGATAATTTTTAGATTCCTTTGTCTTAGTATTAACTTCACTGAAAAAATTGAAGAAACAATTCAATTCAAGAATAAATGTATTTTAAAATACTTAGGCTCTTGTTTTATTGAGGGACTGGAAGAATTCCCAATTTATGTCAGACATGGTTCTTCTGAGAAAGGGAAAAAAACAACCTGTTGTTTGTCTCCAGTAAAAGAGTTACAAATTTAAAAGTATGTTATAAGATTTATCTATAGAAAGTTAATTAAAATCTGCAGGCTGTTTCTTCCCTAACCCAAACTCAAAGCAAAATGTTGTTTTTCTTAAGGTCTTTAATCTTCCAGTCATGCTGTGGCACACTTCTTTTCATGCCTTGTAGCATGGTAGTGCAATTGTTATGTGATAGCCATATTATAGTGCATCATCTGTATTTTAACTCTTTTTTATGTTTTTTTTTTTAATCTCTGACTACTTGACAATGAAACTGCAATAAGTAAATAGTTAAACATTCGAAGTGCATCTTTCACAGGTGAGTCACATCTGCCACAGACAGAAGGGTTTTCTGCTTGAACTGACATTGAGCTCAGGCTATCTGTTGGTTGCTTTCTTTATCATACTAGCATCAGAACTGATTTGTGCTTTCTGCTGGATCATGAACATAAAATCCTGGAAAAAGCCAAGTAAGATTCAGTCTTGCTAAGTGTATTGCTCTGGCAGCAGTGTTTGGTTTTTCTGTTGGTGGGTTGTCTGTTCAAACCAGCAGTACTTTTACAACATGGAAGTCAAAACTTGTGTGATGGCCAAGGCCTTTACAAAGGCAGGTAGGATACAATTTAGTCCAATACCACCTGCTTATTTGAAGTATACACTGCACAGTAAGTATTACTGTTTGTATCCAGGTGTGTGTTACAGGGTGGAGGACATTGGTGTTTGGACAGACCTGTCACCTCTCTAGTGGAGTAAAGTTGGATTTCAAGTGATAATATTGTTCAAGCCGGGATCAGCTGTGTTGATGTCCTTTTTAAGAGGGATTTGTTGTACTGGTATATAAAGATTGCAGAGAATCTTCAGGCCATCTTCCCTTTTTCTGAGGTTTATGACTATTATGCCTTAAAATATTTCTGAAATCTGCTCTGTAAGGTTGTGTTTAGCAGCACTGTCATATCCTTCTGATCAGTTTGACATCAGTCTTCTCTCTGAAAACAACTTCTTCACTCTGTTTTCCTCATCTAAAAACCTCTTTCCTGGGAATTGAGCATAGGGCAGACCATTTTATTCACCCACTTTGAACATTTCCTGTTGTCTGTGGCATCTTTTAAAAATTATTTTGGTAGGTTTTGTTTTGCTTGGATGGCAAAAGAAATTTATACCACTGAAGCCATGATTCCACTTAGCAAAAGTAAGTCTTACCTAAAGTTTATTTCCAGGGTGTTTTCTTGTGAGTTTTTGTAATCATTCTCTTCTCTCCATCTCTTTAAAAGGGAGCAGGTACAAAGCTAAACTTGGCCTTGGTTTCAAGGGAAAATCAAGAAATCTCCAAACTATACATGTCTTGGCTGCTAGGCTGAAGAATGTTGTTAATGGATAGTCTTTGATTTGAATGTCTGTGCTTGGCCAAGAAAGTGAAGTTAGACTCCAGGTTAAAGCTCCTCTTGCAAAGCACTCTAACACTGGAAAGTTGGCCTGTTACAGCTCCAGGATGGGGTGACTGCCTTGCTGTTCTTTGCTGAAGTAGGAGTGTTGTCGCTCATGTTGTTGTACTGACAGATGGCTTGACACAGACAGGTTATTACAATGATCGTCCCCCTGTGTGTGGTGCATATGGATTCTGTGAGCTGCCATTCTCTCCTGCTATTTTCATGTCTTTTGCCACCTGGATTCTCAACTGACTGAGACACAGCTAGGCATGCACAAAGGGTTTTTTCTTCTTACATGACATATGCAAAGCCCACCTCAGTTACAGAAGAACAGACACTGTGTCTGAAGGAAATCTGGTTTGCTGTGTGTGGGCATGTGTGCGCCCCAGAAGAGGAATTAATATAGCCAGTGAAATGAATGTTGAGTATGTGGTTGTTTACTCTTGGGCTTGACTTGGCATGATTTGTGATGGTATGACATGGTGTTCTACCAAGCTCCCTTCTATTACTCAGGTTTCTAGTGCTTTTTTTTTTAAAGTTGTTATTGTTTTTTAAATAATGGTTTAAAGTAATAGATGTGAAAAGACCTTTGAAAATGTAGCCTCAGTGCATGGCAGTACAGGAAGGACTGTCTTGAAAAAGAGAGGGACTAAAAACCTACTCTGAGAGATCCATGACATTCCTGTTGAAGTTAACACGTGGAGCTCAATTATCTATCAAGAAAACTATGAATATTAGTTCTCCTCTCTATATCACCCCTCTCGGAAGAGGGATGGAACTGATCTAACATCCTACAAGCTGTTCAGAGTGACTGTTCACTTTTCTACTGTTTGTGTCAATTAAGGAAAGAGGTTGTTGTTTCCCATCCTTTCAGGCCAGTGCTAAATTCCAATCTGGAAACCATTACTGAAAGACTTGGTAGAATGCAGCAATATGTTCAGCTTTCCTGTGGAGACATCTGAATACCTGCAGAAACCTTGTTTGGAGCTCTGTGTGCTGTCAGAATCTGATTTGTTTAGCTCCAGTATTTAAGGTTTGCTGACAGGGGTTTGGGGATTTTGCTTTTAATTTATGCATCTGAGTAGGTTCTGAAGCTCATAGCTGTCACTGAGTTGAATAGGAAAGACTATGTCTCATTCTCTTTGAGTTATTTGTTTATTCCTCTTTCATGATACAAATGAACCATTTGCTTATTAACTGCTTAATTTAAAATGAATTGGATACTTGCACATTTACCAACCTTAAAATATTCTTAATAACCTCTTGAGTAATGACTTTTTAATGCTTGCATTTCATTCCCTAGCTACCTTTTCCTTTAAAAAATGAATGAAAGTCAAGCAAGCCAAGGGACAGTGACTTTATAGGACTTCTACCAAGATGTATGTGAGGAAGGCTTACTCTTAGCATCTACTTTTAGGCTGCCTTTGAGAAATCAAATCTTAGAAAGCCAAGCTGGAATCAAGATTCATCATGTCGAGTGTTGGGTATTTATAATTGCTCCTCGGAGGCACCTAAATTGAATGTATGAAATGGTGTCTGTGAATACCCCATGCTATGTCCCTGTTCTGTGTCTGCCAGTCTTTCCAGGAATCAGATATTTCTTCTTGGTGATATGGCAAAGGATCATATTTCTGCCAAGTTCCACTGGAATGTAACAGAGGAAACTAACTAAAAAATTTAACTATAAACATTCTGAATACAAGTAAATTTATATTTAAAGAAACTATAAATTATACTACCCCTGCATGCAAACATTGTTGACTAGTGTTCTTGTAATTACACTTAATAGCAGTAGATTACTTTGTCACTTGTATATTGCTTGGGTTTTTTTCTGTTAGAAACTGTTGTATATCCTGTAGAAATGCACATTTTTGTTGTTAACATGTTGTGAAGCCTAGTCGTGTTTTAAAACTCATATAGATCACAAAGTCCCAATGAAATGATGCACGGTTATTTGTGATGTGAATCCCAGATTATATTCATTTTTTCACACTGTGAGTGTTTCCAAATTCAAAACAAAATATATCTTCAGACAGTGCAGAAGGATCTTCTCTGTAGCTTAGAAATACAGGTAAAAATCTGTAAAGTTTCCTTTGTTGTGGAACAGACCAGCTGTTCACTTTTGTAAGGTGCATCTGATGTTGCAGTCAGTCTCAGGATGAGCAATGTGCCGTACTTTCTGCAAAGTAAATGGCAGGAACAGTAGTGTAAAATACCCATTATATCTGTTTCTGTCTGCGTGATAGTAGTGACAGTGCTCAGTGGCTGTCAGCATCCTTGTCAGCACAGAGCTGCCTTTGACATTAAAGTCCCCAGCCCAGTCCTGATGCTGTGCAGCTCTATTGGCAGCTCCATCAGGCTGCAGCTGACCGGTGACTGTCAGAGCCTGCCCTCTTCTCCTGGTGTGTGGCCAGCCCTCTGTGTCTGCAGGCTGGCCTTGCCTGTTATTTGACCTTGCTGCACTTCTTCACCAGCTCTCCTATGGGAAATGAATGGATAGGTCAGTGTTGTGTGGGTATTTTCAGGGCAGCACACAACCCCATCCAAAGTGACTTGCATCAAGGTTTGTAATGATTACCATTTCTTTAAGCCAATCAATGGGTAAAGTACCCAGAGACTCATTAAGTGGTATTTGAGGCACCTGTAAAAGAGTTTGTGCTGTATTTCAGGAAATGCAGTGACAGCCTTTAATGTCTAATTAACCTCTTCTCTTTGTTTCATTGTCCGTATTTCCTTCTGATGTGTTCCCCCGTGGCAGCAAACAGCCCTGCTCAGTATTTTGAACTTCTGCTCGGAGCTGCAGCACCTCAGCCTGGGCAGCTGTGTCATGGTGAGTGCTTGGACCATTCAGGATATGGGGGGGATTGTGTGTGTGTGTGTTTGTATGTGTTTGTGTGTGCACTTGCTTTAGAGCCAATCTGGGTTTGTTTCACAAAGGTGTGTTAAATGTGAGGTTTATACAAGACTCTACTCTTTTGGAAGATCCAAGATGAATGTAGCTTGGTCATATATTTAAGGGTTATGTACTAATTTAGTAGGCCTATAATGGCTTGTAGGCTTTCTCAGAGTTCTTCAGCCTTTTTCTAAGTTTTTGGGCAGTCTCTATATGTGTAATCACTTAACAAGTAATTAATAAGGCTTTCATAAAGAGATGCAGCAACTGATCAACTTAAAATGGAAATGAGTACAGTCTTCAATCATTCTTCAGTAGTTGCACTTCCTGTGGTCATAAAAGCTGATGTAATCATCTTTTAAGGGGAAAACAACTGTGCAAAATAAAAGCTTCTTCAAAGAAACAACTTCTGCTGCAGTTTGATCCTCAGTATTAAGTGAATTTAAAAACAGCTGTGTCTGGGGTTTATAGGAAATTTATTTTATTTTTGTCTTCTGCAAAAGTAGATCTCACTGTACCGTGCAATGAACAATTTTTGGAGCTCTTTAGAAATGACAAATGGTTGAGACAGATGTGTTACGTGTTTGGGAAGCAAACCTTGAAACGCCTCTGTGTGCCTGGAACGATGCTGCACATGACGGAGTGTCTGCTTTCCTTGCAGATTGAAGACTATGACCTTATAGCAAGCATGATGGGAGCAAAATGCAAAAAGCTTCGCAGTCTGGATTTGTGGAGATGTAAAAACATAACTGAAAGCGGGATCGCGGAATTGGCTTCGGGCTGCCAGCTTTTGGAAGAACTTGATCTCGGGTGGTGTCCTACGCTCCAGAGCAGTACAGGCTGCTTCACAAACCTTGCGCGCAAACTCCCGAATTTGCAGAAGCTCTTTCTTACGGCCAACAGGTCTGTGTGTGACACAGACATCGAGGAGCTCGCTGCCAACTGCACGCACTTACGGCAGCTGGATATATTGGGTAAGAGAAGGGGGAATATTGGTTTTGTTTTACGGGGTCTCAAAAGCCTTTCAGTTAAAAAGGAGTCCTTAAGACAAAACTGTTTTCCAGAAAAGTTTGTTAAATAAGTGTTTCTTAAAGTTATGGTTTAGCACATAAAAAAAAGAGGGACGTTTTACTCACTGCATGATTTCTGACTCAGAAGCCAGGAGATTGATACCAGCTGTGTAATTTGACTGCTGAGTATGAATTGCTTAAACTGGAATTTAAGTGCAAGATTTTTTCCACTAACTTTCATTTTCATGACCATTGGCTTTTTTAATTGAAGCCTTTCTCTTTTGATTATCAGAAGATCAAATTTCTTATAATTCTTTCTGCTTTTGTTTGTATTTTTATTTCTGTGAAGTGTGACAAAGTATGTTTATAGCATGAGTCTGTGATCAATAAACATTTTGTTTTTGTGCAATAAATATTTGTTATATATTATATAATATATATTATGTACTATGCAATACTGATTTTCTTCATCACTTTTATCGGTAAGTAAATTTGAGTTACTAAAGATGAAAGGGTAATTAAAAGCAAAACCTAAATAGACTTTCTGATAAGGTGGGAAGGAAGTGATAGGGGTCAAAAAGCATAGCAAATCTGAAATTTCTAATCCTCTGCAGTTTCCATAGTTGAAAATATTTTTAGAGATCTAAAGTAAATATACTTTGAACTCTTGAGTAAGGACTTTGAGAAGTGCAGTTTTGTGTGATGCCGAATTTATTCTTTTATGGTGGCATATGAGGTTTTCTTTTTATAATAATGTAGGACAGCAGAGATGTTTATGACATCAGTGTGGGAGAAAATTCTTCGTGGTTTTACCAACTTAGTTTCACAGGATAGCTGAAAAAGGAAGATTTAAATGAAAGGGAATAAAGTAGTTGCTCTGTATACTTCTAATGTTTAATTGTAATGAAAATATTACATTTAGGTTGAGAGGGATACTGCAAAGAACTGAGAGCCATCAACATGAATAATTTTCCAAGCAAGTGTAAAGATTTATTCTTATCAGTATTTATAATTTCAAAGTATTTACCGTATGGCTTCAGATTGGCATTCCAGTACACTGTTCTGTAATGATGAAGAGTTTTAGTCACTTCTGACTGAGAGAGTTGCCTTCTGACCAACGTGGGAAAGACATATGAACAGAAAAAAACCTTAACTCCCCCTAGTTCAAGTTGTAGATGCGTTATGTTTATCCCCCCCAGGGGTACTGTGTTTTGTGTATCTTTAAGAGAATCTGCTCTGCAGCTAAATTATCAGGGGCACACTGCCCTGTTCAGACATGGAAAATTTCCAAATGGTGTAGGGAATTAAGTCTCTAAGAAACCCCTTAGGTGTCCCTGACCACCCACTTCCATGTGTTTCTGTTACAGTGGCCTTGTGTTTGCCCTCAAAGTGGTCAGACCTTGTTACTGCAACAGAGGCTCCCCAAAGAATAGTTTGGCTTTGTTGAACTTACGCATAGTCTGCTACTTCTGTTGCCTGTCTGTCAGCAGTGAAGGCTTGCTGCCACATTTCTTTAGTGTTTGAATTCAGATTTTAATTCAGTTGGACATCCTAATGATTTTTTTTGTTGAAAAATAAAGTGAAAGTGGAAAAGGAGTTTGTTCTGTTCCCTGGGTGCTTACGGATATTCCTGAGTCAGATGGATTTGTAGTCAAACTTTTCCTATGAGAGTGCATGTTGCTTTCAGATAAATCCCCTCTAGGGGATATCTAGTTGAATTTCCTGCAAAATGAATAATCTGGAAAAAAATATTTCTTTCTTACTTCAGAGAAATACTTGGTAGGGTGAAAAAAAGGTTGTCCTCTGCTGTAAACAAGTCAGTACAAGGTGATATTCCCTATATATGTGAAGGACTTACCCCGCTTTTTTGGCAACAGCAAGGAAACTGTGTTAATTTTTTTTTTTTTTTTTGTCTGAATGTGGTAACCAGTACAGTCTGTGGTTACAAGAAAGAGCTGTCAGGTAGAACCACATTGTGTCATCTGGAGGTAGAGTTGCCAGGTGTTCCCATGTAAGTGCAGAAGTCTCTGTTGTCGGCACTAAAGAGTGAGTCTCTCACTGTGCGGGAGTACCAAGGAAGTCATAAATGTCTGAATGTGCTCTGACTTTGGGCATGTGATACAGGGCCATCCTGTTACATTAAGCTGCATGAATGTGTAGTATGTTTTTGTCCTTCAGTAGAAGTGTGACAACAGGTCTGGAGCTGTAAGAGGTCAGAGCTCAGCTTTGCAAGAGTAACCTTGAACAGCGGGTCTTCTCTGTGATGTGAACGAATGAGAGGTGCTCTCATTATATCCTTTGTCGTCTCCCAGGTAAAGAAACGTCTGGCTTGCATGTGTATTGTGAAGGGTGTAGCGGTATTGCTGCTAGGTTAGCACTGTGTGCTGTAAGGGAACTTCTTTTGCTTCAACAAAGCTGTGTAAAAGCAAGGTTTTTTCCTGCATACAAGCTCTTATCTAAGTAAGGGTCAGAATGTCTTCCCTACACTGCAGTCACCACTGTTGAGGATACTATACTGGTATCTCTCTGCAGTTGTTAGAACTTAGAAACTTGACAGAGAAAACTTCTTGTTTCGGTTATAGGTTATTTATCATCACAGTCGCTTCAGGGGTGGAGGAGTCTAAGCCTCTGAAAGAAATCTTGTTGAACTGTAAGGGATGAAAAATGCACATTATATATAGGCTGGATGCTGTTTGAAGGTGACAGGTCCTGAGGCTTGCTACCCATCTGTCCTTTACCATAATTGTTCGGTAATTTCCTTGTTACACAGTCAGAGTACTCTGTAGAAGATGAAAATTACTGGTTTTCAAGGACTCTGTGTACTTACTGGCCCATGTAAAGCATTGGTGGATGTCAGGCTGTGTTTGTGCTATGTAAAACACAGAAAGTAAATTTCTGTTTAAAAAAACCCATGGGCTTGTCCTGTATGATATCTGCTGTATCATAACTTTGGAAGGGGAAGCGTGGTGTGTGCCACTGAATGCATGAGGATGTGCTTCTCTTGAACTTTTAGTTCTGAGCTTTCTTTTACCCACTACATCCTGAACTGCCTGCTTACAAGTATCATTTCCTTCCCAGCCCACATCTTTTCCACTGAGTGACATGGCATATTTCCACCCTCTGTCAGAATGATCCAGCCATGATCATCTGACAGTTCTGTAGTGACGCAGTACATCAGCCAGTGCTATCAAGTTAAGTGGACACCTCTAGACCAGTAGTTAAAAAACTTGTCTTCAAACTGTGATCAGCATTGAGCAATGTGACAAGTCAGATGGCAACCTGAATTGACAGTGTCAAAAGCTTTTCTTGCACATCACATCAGCTGCTTAGTTCTCTTCCTGTGGGGTTCTCAGCTGCTGTCAAGGGTGAAGAGTAGATCGTATTAACCTCGCTCCCCAAAAGGTCCAACTGCCTCTGTCCTGCACAAAAAGAGTAATGAAAAGTAGACACCCTCGTTACCACAAAATTCATGTATTCCTATCTACATTCCAACACCTCCCACACCTTCCTGAGCAACAGAAAACCCAACTGCCCCCTTGCCAGCTGTCAAAGTTTTCAGCTTTATCTTGAGAACATCAACACGTAGTTAGTCAATTCAAACGTGAAAATGTGTAGCGCATTAAAGTTTTGAATTTGAGTTGTGTGCAGTAGATTGAATAAAATGTAAAGAATAAGAGGCTAGTTTGGCTGGTCTAGGGAAAGAAAGGAAAGAAAAGAATATTTGAGGGAAGAGTGCTAGTTTGTACTCTGAAATACTATTGGGTGTGTCTTGCCCTAGTGGTGTCTCTTGCCCTAGAAATTTGGGTTCTGCAGTTTTTATAGCTGTCCTGCACAGGTCTCCTAAACAGCTATAGAATTTGAAGGCTTTGATATATGATGGATATCAATTAAATTATTTACAGATAATAAGCATAATTGTTCGAGCAAAGAGGTCATTACTCAGAGGTGTCTTTTACAAGGATGGTACCAGAGAACTGACTGAACAACAAAATTAAATAGCAGATTTTAATGTTTTGGTTGTGTATGTATTCTGAGAAATGGCTGATTACTCTATGGAGGAGAAGTTGTAGTAAATAATAAAGGTCCACAAGTCTCCAAACTCTAGAAGAAAAATGCTCTATATAAGTAATTAACTAGCAGGCTACATTGCCATTCTTTCAAAAGCAAAGGAAAATGTGCTGTATTAAAATTCTGAAATGCTTTTGAATGGGCTTCTAGGATAACTAACTGTACATTGTATAAATGAAAGTAAGAGTGCAGATGATGTTCATGTATCCTGTGGTCTGAATAACCAAACCCCAACTGGATTGCTTTTAGAAAAAGGTGTTTCCTAACATAAAATTTTAAGTCTGAGGTGGAAAAAAACCCAGGTGCAATAAAACATGCAATTTAGGTGACCTACTTAGTTGCAAATCTATTAAAAGTCTTGGATGAAATGATAGGAGAACTATCAAAGTTCAGGTAGAAGGAATGAAGAACATCCTACACAAAAAAAAATCTGTGGCTAGGCATCTAAATCTAGAATTTTTGTAGAAACACACGTTTGGATCTTGAAGCATAAAAGCTGTGATGCATAAATGAGGCTGGGTTTAGATGAAGGTGCTGATGTAGTAGCAATTTTAAGTCTTAGTGGAAAAAAATATAAGTAGCATAATGTGTTGTTCCTAGAGTTGCATTTAGAATCGTAGAGCAGGTCCTTATGGTAGAACAGTGATACTGTGGTAAAGTTCATGGTCAAATGAAGTGAATAAATGAAGCATGTTACAGAATTTCTGTGTAAAGCCTTAGGGACTGTTGCATGAACCACCATCAGTTCTGATGATGGTGATTATATAATGGTAAGGGAGTTAAAAATCACAGTGATAATGACATGCTTAGTCTCTCTAGAGGGGATAAAATTTGGGGGCATGATGGCAAAGACTGTCCTTGGGTGATGTTCAATAATGCCTCAAAGTAACTAATCTGAGAACTTGATGTGGGATAATTGGAGACCACATTCAGATACCTCCTTGCTTATGCAGAAGAGTACTGGAGACTAATGGAACCATATGGAATCTTTCTGAAATTGAATCCCATTCAGAGAATGAAAATAGGGAGATGAACTCTAGAAAGTGAAACAAAATCACAGCAAGCCAGTGTGAAGTATTAAGGAACGACTGGCTAGAGGTGAATGATACTCTGTTTCACCTGTTTTACTGTGAATGAACCTGTGTTACAAGTTCACGGGAGTGGCTGATCTCAGTAGATAGTCCAGGTGTGAAGGCTCACTCCAATACAGGGCTGTTCCAGGGGAGCTGTTGTGTGTCCCTTGGTGTTCATGGCAGAGGGGATCAAGCAGGCTGCTACATCAGAGCCATTCTTTCCAGGAGATTAGCCTGGAAAGCTACCTTAAATTGGAATGCCAATACAGAAAGCTTTTGAACAAATCAATACATTGAACAATAATAAATTGTTAGGACTAAATGGTATTTATGCAGTGATTCTAAATGAGCTCAAATACAGGGCTCTGGAAATCTTATTTCTGGTGTGTGATCTGTCTCTGAAATCAGCCTCAGTGCTAGAGTAATACAGGATTACAAACATGGCACAACCTTCTGTAAAGGGCTTGGGTTAGGAGCTACAAAAAGATCATCTTTTGCACTGTGTAAACCAATGGCAGGCATGAGAAAGTCAGTCAGTGGACATCCAGAGGACATTACCATATTCTGATGAAGAGCTGCATCCCAGCAAGGGTAGTATTAGCTTTGCCTCTCCGGTCCTTTAAATTTCCTTGAAGTATTGGTGAATATGAGCACTACTCCATTCCACAGAAGATTGGATTTTCAAAAACGTTAGCCAAGGTTGTGCTGCTTTTGTAAATTAGCTATCTTTTCCTGGATTACGAGTGTTTCAGAGGACAAGAATGTATAATCTCTTTTCACAGTGAAGTTATGTCACTGTTGTGGTCACCAAGGGTCTGTTCTGATCTTGTAAATAATCCAGGCAGAGGGGTGAATAATGCCAGAGGGTAACGCACAGGTATTCAGGGTAGAAATCTTCAACTGAAGAACTTAACACTGAAAAATGGCAGAATGATCTTGTGATACTTACTAAACAGGTGATAAAGCAGGAGGAAAACATTGAATCAAGTGCAAAGTAGTCACATGAGGCAAAATAATATCAACTAAATATATGGGGGACTGGATTAGCTTGTGTTTTGTAGGAAAGAGATCCTGTGGACAATTTTTGCAAAACGTCAGCTCATTGCCCAGCATTATTCTAATGGGAATAGAGAAGATTAGGGTTATTAGACATTAAATGGAAAAAACACCATAAGACTTACTATAAAATTACTGACTGTGTGCTCAGTGCACTGTATTGTTCTGGTCATCCAGTTTCAAAAGTACTAGATTAGTGCAGAAACAACACAACAGGGGTCATTTTGAGATGCAAGGGAGTCTGGAAAACAGATGGCCTTGAGGAAACAGAAGAGATGTGCATGGGAGTAGGAATGATTTAGAAATAGTGAATTGGGAATGATCTCATGCTTCTTTCATTGCACCTTAATTATTGCAACTAATAGGCTGGAATTTTTTATTTTTTTATTTTTCTCTTCTTTTTTTTTTTTTTTTTTTTTTTTTTTTTTTTTTTTTTTTTTTTTACATTATGTCAAACTGCGGAATTTGTGAAGGGGCTGTAAGTACGAAGAAGTTCAGAAAAGTAGTAGAATCCATGAAAGATAGCTTTAGAAACCCTAAAATTACAATTTTTGGCAATTGAGAAGATTCACTAGTGAAAATGTGCTTTGAAAAAATCTGCTTTTTTTTTTTGCAGGGGAGGTAAGGAGTGTAGGGAATATAATTGGCCCTGGCACTAGACAAGATCCTGAACTAGATGGATTTTTGGGGTGCTAGTTAGCTGAAGGTGGAGCTGTGTGAGTTCAAGTCTGCCAGCAGTTTTCTGCAGTAGTCTTGGATATATAAACTCTCTAGAGGGAAAGCTTGATGAGCAGTTTAGCCCGCTGTAGACACCCAGGCTCAGTTCACTTGCCTAGAGTAACCTGCCAGGCTTCCAGCCTTTTCTATAAGGCATGAATCTCCTCTGGGTCCAGTGTCCTGTCTGCCTGCTGTGTGTGGATGTCCTGCACGGGGTGAGGTCCCCAAGGGGCACTGAGTACTTCAGACAGCTGACTCACCCCAGGGCCCAGTCAGATGAACCAGGTGCTGAGCACCATGGGCTGGACTGTCTGGATGTCCATCAGCTGTAATGGGTGTGTGGGTTTGTGCTTATAAACATAATTTATTTGGTTTCTGACTGGATCCTGTGCTTGATCTGACAATGTGTGACACTTGGGAGTTCAGTCACCCTGGTTTTGTTTTTAGCAGGGTTTGACTAGTGTGTTTTATACATACATGTATGTATGATCAGCACTCTCTTGAACAACTGCCCCTGCATGTGTGTAATACCCACACTTGCTCTAGAGCCCTGGGAGCCTTGCTGATGCCTTTGGAATTGGAATAGCCCCCAGTCACCTCATGTGCTGTGCTAATGGACTGTGTGCTCATCAGGAGGGCATGACTGTAGCCTTCCATGCTGCTGCCTAGGCCTAGCATCTGGTCCCTTGGAGGTTTTGTGGCTCTGGGTACCTGGCTTCTGTAGTAAGAGATTCCCTTGAAGTTGTAAAGTTGCCTCCCAATGACAGTGACTTAAGCAGTTAAGAAAATACACTAGGTTTTTTAAATGTAAGAGTTCTGTGTGCTCTCTGAGAAGCTTTTAATTTGAAAACTAATTTAAATGATCTAAAAAAAAAATTGTGTTGTAGTAGCATTTTTTCATGACACGGTATTAACAGCTTAAAACCATGCACTATTCTTGGTAACTTCATAATTCTGTTTTGTTTTGTTTTTGAACAGGAACAAGGATGGTGAGCCCTGCATCTTTAAGAAAATTGCTGGAGTCTTGTAAAGATCTTTCTTTACTCGATGTGTCCTTCTGTTCACAGATCGATAATAGAGTTGTGCTAGAACTGAATGCCAACTTTCCTAATGTGTTCATAAAAAAGAGTTTCACCCAGTGACTCCCTACATATGCTGCTGTGGAACTCGTTTGACAGAGTTGTTTTCCTGTAAATTTCTGCTGTTTTTTTTTTTTTTTTAAGGAGAATATAAATCTGCTATAAAATGGTGGAAAATATTAATTATCTACACAAATGGGTAAAATACATTTAAATGTATTATGCTTCTTAAAGTTGATATTGTACCTAAGAATTATTTTACTCTGTTAATTGGTGGCACTGCATGTTTTTAAATACTAGCCATATGTCTGGCTTTAATGAGAAACAAATGAATGTCTTCTTAAATGTCCCTTTACAGGGTGTTATACACAATACAATATGTCAATATCCAGGTGAAAGCAGAAGTTCAATATTTATCAGTAAGGAAAATATGGGTGCTTCCTTTTCATGTGCTTGTGTGTGTATGTATAAATGTATACATATGTATTCGTATATACATGCACAGATATTGTAGCATTCTAGTTTGGCCTGCAGCATAAGCTTTTATGATCTGGCCTATAATTAGTTATTTGAAAACCAGTTTAAGTGTGTATAAGAACAGATAGAAAAGGCACTTTGTCTTCTTCGAGTTTTGGCAATGAATTCTATCTGATACAGTTTTCTCCCTTCCTTCACCTGAAATAGATGTAATGATGTTTTACAGTCCAGCCTAAGCAACACAACAGATAAATGCAAGAATCTGGACCACCTGAACTTAGAGCAGAAATGAAAGATAAAAGTTACAGCTGTTTCTTGGTATTGAGATACAATAAGCCAAGTACTTAATGTTGTAACTGGTAGTGTGTAGAAAACTCCAGGGTAGTTTCCTTTTTAAAATTTCTGTCATGGTCAAGACTTGATTTGTGATACGTCTGGTTATTGTGCAGAGTATCATGAAAAGTAGAACTTAGGGTAATGTGTTAGCAACTGCCCTTTCACTGGCATCAAATCTACTGTCAGGTGTAAAAACAAGCATCTTCGTTCAGTAAAACAGCAATGAAAATGTAACGGGTTTGAAATAAGGGCAATACGATTTGATGATTTTATGATCACCAAACCTTAGTACTGGATTTGTTTTGTTTGGGTTTTTGTTTTGTTTTGTTTTTCCGAGAGGAGAGTAGCTCAAAGTACTGTTGCACTCTTTGAGACTGCTTAACCTCTGGAGAAGGAAAACTGTGTTGATGGACAATTTCTGGAAGTTTCTTCCTGTTGCACTTTCTTGGATGAAGATTTTCTCTTTTTATTTTTTTTTTTTCCCTTGAATACCACTGCTAGAGTATGTTGCTTTGTACAGCTTTGGTTTAGAATTTTACCTTTTTAGCCATTGTTGATGCATATGAACCATAAAATATGGGCTGTCTTTTGATATTGGTTGTTATTCTTATCTTGATGGCACTTATTACCTACTGGAATAAGAAGAAAAATACTTTGTCTGAGAGAAGTACAGTATTGCACTGAAGATCAGTGACAAAGAACACTTCAGTTCATGCAGTAAATAACCAACTGCTACTAGAGGACTGCTACAAATCGTTAAAAATCTGACAATCTCTGTGACTCCTGAATGACTGCTTTGAACTCTTTGTGCTGGTGTCAATACTTTATAAACCATGTCATGAAACAGCTACAGAACATTTACCTGATTTTATTGAAAGACCTAGTTCTTCAGATTTTTGAATTTTGCTGAATCTCTGAGGAATTCCAGATCCAAAGAAGGGCATGCACAGTTGGCTTTTTGATTTTTTCCCTCCACACAGATGGCACTATGGGATTTCCAACTAGTTTATGCCATTCCATTTTTTTTCTTCTTTAGAAATCTGGGCATTGTCAGAGAAGTTTAGATTGATTTGCTTTTTTTTCCATACTGAAAGATGTCAGCTTTGGTATGATTCTATGTGAGACCTCATTTCTTTCAATTGTGTTTGGGTTCATTTGTTTTTCTGTGAAATTTTACCTTTTTTTAGTCTATATTTTTAATTGTAATTGTTAAACATTATTATTCTAGTTACATGAGAAAACAGGTACAGATAATGGGAGTTTACAAAGAACAGAGTTCAAAAAAATGTATTTGTTATAAAATTTCACTTCTCAGGGGTTGTTCTGTGTTTATCTCCTTTTTTTCTATAGAGATCTGTTTTGTTTGTTTTTCACTGTAAATAGAATGGGATGTGGATGAAGTGATAGCCATTGTGCCTTCAAACTGGTAAACTTGGTACATAATAGAGTTTTTCTCATCAGTGAATCAAATAAGTGTTTTTGTAATCACATACATGTAAAGAATTTCATTCTCTGTTGCTTTTTAGGTAGCATAAAGAAGGTTTAAATTGAAATTATGTTCATACTGGAGGATTCTTTTCTTATGTTGCATCTTCTGTTTGAAAATGGTTTTTTTCAGGAATTCTCTGTTGTCACTTGGAAGATAAATTGAAGTTGACTTTTTATTTGGATTGTTTAAAATTTGGCTATTACAAACATAATTAATTCAAAGAGCAGAGAAGCTATTGGGAATGACTTCCATCTATAGTTATAGACTTCAACCTTCAGTCAGACAGTAAGAAGCTCTTTTAGCTATGGCCTTATAAGTCCAAGAAGTCTTCCAGCAAAACAAAGTTAGATCAGACTTGACATGTGTAATACTTGCAGAGTAAAGAAAACAACTTGCTTTTAGACTTTCCTCATATGTCACAAAGAAGCAAGAATGGGTCGCTGTCTCTTTAGTTCTGCTGTCTTATACTTAAGTGTGTCTATTTATTTATATATATATGTATGCATAAATTATATATACACACACATATGTTTGTGTGTCTATGTGAATTCTTTTGGATGTGTGTACATACATAAACTTATATGTATAAATCTCAACGTTTTCCATGTAGGAATTACTTTTGTAAAGTGAGTATAATAGAAAATAATGTGTTTCGTAGCAGTTCTGCTTTCAACTATTGCTTTACTCTACCTGGAGACTGAGTTCATCTCCACCCATGCAGCAGGAAAAGCCTGGACAGATGTGCTGAATTTCCAGTGTTGCTTTGCCAAAGTGCCTTTTGGTTTGTCTGCTCGTGAAAGGTGTTACAGGGTGTGAAGAGTGAATGCAAAGTCTGATAACTACTGTGGACTGTCTCCTTGCAAAGCAGTCATATAGAGAGAAACTTATATTCTAGTTTCATTTAATCCAAAATGAATAATGTCAGTTCCTCCACTGGGGGAATTAATTGCTCTTGAATTGGGTCTCATCTCCATCACTAGACTGTCCCTCAGTCATGTTATCTAAGTTCTGCTGTTAAGGATATTCTTTTTTTTTAATTGTGTTTTTTGATTATTTGTCTTTCTGAAGCTTTGTAAAAGATATGCTTTGGCAACAAATGTTAAAAAAAATGGCTAACATGTCCAAAAAAACGGGTTTACTCTGAGCTGCTCCTGTTTTTAAGCTAAAGAGGATCTTCCATACCCTCTGTATGAAATTGATGTGGGATGGCCTGTAAGTAACTATGTAATTCCTTGGGTAATTTAAAAAACTAGTATGATAAATTTACCATTTAAAGCATCTTGTTAACTCTTCAAGGCTTTAATTCAGTAGTGTACTTAATTGTATTCATAATTTTGAGCTATCTGGCTATTTTGAGCTATCTCTGAGCTCTCTGAAACGGGTGGGGTTTCTGTTCTTTAAATTATACACCTGATTAAGTCCATTAGTGAGCATGACTCATATAGAACAGTTTTGCGTGGGAGTTTGGACCTTATAATCCCCCATGTACTTGGAGGTCCAAGTTTCAGACAAAAAACCACAAGTGAACAAACAACAAAAAAACCTACCAAAACCTTTGTATTTCCTTAGAGCTCTTATGCTAAGTTTTCCAGATATGTCTAGTAATCATGGTACACATTGAGTAGAATTCATCTCACTGAATGTTAGTTCTCTGAAAGTTAGACATCTACTTCAAGGGAGGAATCTGGGCACCTCTAGAGAGTTATTAATCTCCTAAGGCAGACATTTCAGGAAAGTGGAATGAATCATGTTCTAGAGAGCCTCTCTGGAGACTGTGGAAGCTGTGATTTAACTCAGGTTAGATACTAAACTGAGATTAGTTCCATCCAGTGCTGTACTACCTGTCTTGAAAAACAAGACCGAAACAACATCCATCCTTAAACCTTCAAACCCTGCAAATTCCATCCAGAGAGAAGCAAAAAAAAAAAAAAAAAAAAAAAAAAAAAAAAAAAAAAAAAGTCTGAGGAGGAAACCCTGAGGAGTTTTCTTAATGCCAGGATCTGGTTCTGTCCCTTGCTAATACCTGTGATATATAATTGTTTTATTTTGTTTGTCTTTTGGGTTTGGGTTTTTTTGGAAATGCATCCTCTTTCCCTGTTCCAGAATCTCATGTACCTAACTGGCTGTGTGTATAGTTCTGTGAATGTGTGAACAGACAAACATAATTAATGTATTGCCACTATTTTGATAATCTTTCATATTGCTATAATTAAGACTGAGTAGTTTAACTGCTCTGCTGTCATTAGAAATGTCACCCACTGTGCATTTGCAAAAATTGTGTGCCGAGTCTTGGTTCTTACTGTGTGTACTTATTGCATCTTATGGGATATATTTCCCATGTCACATCAGCAGGACTGCTAAATTTACAAAAACTAAATAAAATGTAGCATTTTATTATGAGGACTATGGGGGCGACTTTATATATATGATTTACATATTCATTATTGCTCTTTAACAGTGATTCTGTAAGTTGTAGCTTTGCAAATGACTAGACTAGAAATCCCTGGTTGAATGCATCTGCACGTGCTGTGTCAGATGCAGTCAGTTTTTTCCCAGATGAAGGCATTAGTCCTTCACTGAGTTGATGATTTCTGTGAGTTTTAGATATCTGGCTTGATAACGAAGTGCAAGAAGATGCTCTTTAATAAATGTTACCAGCACAGGACAAGTTGTGGTAACTGACGTTTGGAAGGGCTGAGAAATGAGTGTTGGATGTTACAGATCCTCAGGAGCTTCAGAGAAATGCATCAACAGGAAGAGTCTCATTAAGAAGATTCAGCCTCTGTAATAGGAGGCAGTGGTGAGATTTTCCTTTTCAGCTAATGGACTAAATACTTTTGTTTGGGTTACATAGCTCTGGTTTCTTCTTGTCTTGTTTTCACTTGAGGATGGTATATGGTGCAGTTAGGAATACACATATCCTAAACTGAAGGGCATCCATTGTGAGCAATGAAGTTTTTCTGTTGCATGTTTTGTTCACCTTTTCTAAAAATAAAAGTATAAAAATACCCTCAACTACTTGA